GAGCAGAGCCCAACTTTAACATACAGTCATAAGTCAAGAAACAGGCTAAAAAATGAGCAAACAACAACAAAAAAAGAACTTGATCATAAAAAGATACTGTGGTGACAAGGAAGATGAAGACACAACAAACTCAGAAGAGGACAATGATGTCAAAACAGTTACAAGCAAAGCCTCAAAGAAAATGGGCTGAAATGAGCCCAGCAAGAATTCCTGGAAGAGCTCAAAAAGTATTTTAAAAATCAAATAAGAGATGTAGAGGAAAATTGGGCAAAGAAATGAGAGTGATGCAAGAAAATTATGGAAAGAGAGTCAACAGCTTGGTAAAAGAGGCACAAAAAATACTGAAGAAAATAACACCTTAAAAAACAAAATTGTCAAATGGTAAAAGAGGCACAAAAATTAACTGGAGAGAACTTCTTAAAAAGCAGAGTTGGCTAAATAGAAAAAGATATACAAAAGCTCACTGAAGAAAATAATTCCTTAAAAATTAGAATTAGGCAAGTGGAAGCTAATGCTTCCACAAGACATCAAGAAACAATCAAACAAAGTCAAAAGAATGCGAAAAAGTTGAAGAAAATATGAAATATCTCATTGGGAAAAAAACCTGACCTGGAAAATAGATCAAGGAAATATTATTTAAAAATTATTGGACTACCTGAAAGCCATGATTTAAAAAAAAAGCCTAGACATAATATTTTAAGAAATTACCAAGGAAAACTGCCCTGACATCCTAGAACCAGAGGGTAAAAAAGAAATGGAAAGAATCCACCAATCACCTGCTGATAGAGATCCTAAAATGAAAACTCCCAAACTCCCAAGTCAAGGAGAAAATATTGCAAGTAGACAGAAAGAAACAATTCAAATATCAAGGTGCCACAGTCAGGATCACATAACATTTAGCGGCTTCCACATTAAAGGAGCAGAGGGTTTGGAATATGATATTTTCTGGAAGGCAAAGGAGCTAGGATTACAACCAAGAATCACCTATCTAGCAAAACTGAGTATAATCCTTCAGGGGGAAAAATGGATATTTACCAAAATAGAGGATGTTCAAGAATTCCTGATGAGAAGACCAGAGCTGAATAGAAAGTCTGACTTTCAAATACAAGACTCAAGAGAAGCATAAAAAGGTAAACAGGAAGGAGAAATCATAAGGGATTTAATAAGGTTAAACTGTTTACATTCCTATATGGGAAGCTGATACTTGTAACTCCTAAGAACACACACACACGCACACACGCACACACACGCACACACACACACATATATACATATGTATGTATATGTATATACAGAGGGCACAAGTATGAGTTGACTATGATGAGATGATTTTAAAAAATAACATTCAGGGGTGAGAAAGAGGGATACACTGGGAGAAGGGTTTGAGGGAGAGGTAGAATGGGCAAAATTATTTCACATAAAAGAGGTTCAAAAGGAAGAGTTTAACAGTGGAAGGGAAGATGGGGATGGTGGTGGGCAACATCTGAACCTTACTCTCATCAAAACTGGCTCAAAGAGAGAATAACATACACACTCAGTTGGATATAGGAATCTATCTTACCCTACAGGGAAGTAACAGGTGAAGGGGATAAGAGAAGAAGAGAGCTGACAGAAGGAAGTAAGTAGTTAGAAGCAAAACAGACTTTTGAGAAGGGACAGGGTAAAAAGAGAGAGAAAAAAAGATAAAAAGGTAGAAGAGGATGGAAGGAAATATAAAGTGAGTAATCATAACTGTAAATGTGAATGGGATGAATTCACCCATAAAATGGAAATAGATAGCAGAATGGATTAAAAATTTGAATCCAACAATATGTTGTTTATAAGAAACACACATACAGAATAAAAATAAGGGGCTGGAGCAGAATCTATTATGCTTCAGCTGAGGTTAAAAAAAAAAACCAAAAAGTAGAGGTAGCAATCATGATCTCAGACAAAGCAAAAGCAAATATAGACTTAATTAAAAGAGATAAGCAGAGGGGCAGCTAGGTGGTGCAGTGGATAGAGCTCTGGCCTTGGAGTCAGGAGGACCTGAGTTCAAATCTGGCCTCAGACACTTGGCATTTACTAGCTATGTGACCCTGGGCAAGTCACTTAACCCCAACTGCCTCACCAAAAAGCAGAGAGAGAAGCAGGGGAACTACATTTTGCTAAAAGGTATCACAGACAATGAAGTAATATCAATATTAAACAAATATACACCAAACAGCATAGCATCCAAATTCTTAAAGGCAATGTTAAATGGGTTACAGGAGGAAACAGACAGTAAAACCACACTAGTGGGAGACCTCAACTTTCCCCTCTCAGAACTAGATAAATCTAACCATACAATAAACAAGGAAGAAGTTAAGGAGATGAATATAATTTTAGAAAAGTTAGATATGATAGACCTCTAGAGAAAAGTGAATGGGAATAGAAAGGAGCATACCTTTTTTCTCAGCTGTACATGGTACCTTCACAAAAATTGACCATGCATTAGGGCATAATAATTTCACAACCAAATGCAGAAAAGAAGAAACATTAAATGCATTCTTTTCATATCATAATGCAATAAAAATTACATTCAATAAAGGGCCATAGAAACAGTTTAAAATTAATTGGAAACTAAATACTCTAATCTCAAAAAATGAGTGGGTCAAAGAACAAATCATAGAAACAATAAATAATTTCATTAAAGAGAATTGACAACAATAAGACAACATACTAAAATTTATGGGATGCAAAAAAGCCCACTTCTTAGGGGGAAATTTATATATCAAAATGCTTAAATCAATAAAATGCAAAAATTTCTATCTCTAAATGTGTACATTAATAAAAAAGAGAAAGAACAGATCAATGAATTGGGTATGCAACTAAAAAACTAGAAAAAGAACAAATTAAAAATCCCCAATTAAACACCAGATTGGAAATCTTGACAATCGAAAGAGAGATTAATAAAACTGAAAGTAAGAAAACCATTGAACTAATAAATAAAACTAGAAGTTGGTTTTATGGGAAAAAAAACTAGTAAAGTAGATAAACCATTGGTTAATTTTGTCAAACTGATGAGATGATAGGCTACAAAAAGTCACTGATCAAATTGGAATTCCCTGGTCAAACCAATGAGGTATTATAGAGCATTGGCCATGATCTGAAGGCAACTCATGGACAGAGAACAACTATTCCCTGACTGAAGAACAGCCATGACTCATCATGGCCTATAAAAGCAAGCTAGCCTGATTCTTTGGGACTTTCAGTTCTTGGGGACTCACCTTTTCCACTGAATCTTCTGACAAAATGTAGCAAGGGGAAGGGGGAAGGGATTTCTTTCTTTCTACCCTCATTCCCACCTCATCAGCACCAAGAAGAGCAATGGAAACTTATAGCAGAAGCACACAGTAGGGGGAGACATGCTTGCCCACAGCTTGAAAGACAAGTTCAAGGACACGCTTCTTGAATCCCAGTCTCTTGTGTAAAGGGAAAGGTGGTGTGTGAGTGTGTGTGTGCATGTGGAAGGGGTGGTATTTGAATTTCTTAGGCAGCAGCATCCTGGAATATAATCTTCTAGCAGAGAAAGAGATTTTCTGTGTAGCACCAGCTTTGAGAGTTACCTTGTAGCTAACTCCAAGTTTGAGAGTTCCTGAGTTCAAGAATTGAGGCCCTTCACCTAAAGGTGATGCAGTATACCTTTTCAAGAAGGAAGTCCACGTGGTTCCTGCTTAGCATCCTACTTGGAGAGCAAAGCCAGACCATGACTTGGACAATCCAAGTTCAGAGACTAGGATTTGCTTGTTCAGCAAGTTCCAACACATGTTGACTTTTCAAGGAGTTGAATCCAGAGAGTGGTGTTATGCGTCTTGAGGAGATTGTGTGGGTAGGACTCACTGAGAAAGAGTTTTATTGAAGTGACAGAGGACTGCTCTGATGGCAAACCCAAGTCCAGTTCCCTTTGTGAGTGGTGGTAGGGGGGAAGCTGAGAAGCTCTTTGAATGTTTAATATTCCTGTATTTGTTAACGAGCTCCTGAGAATCTTTACCTTGTGGCTTTTCTGTGGGGAGTGAATAATGGTTCTCCCATAACCGATATTGCCAATAACCACACTGTACACTGAATTCCTGCCTGGGAGTTGGTCACTCCCATTACACATATTTGGGGAAACCTCTACACAAACTACACTGAGGCTTTGCTTTGGAGAATTTCGTATATTAACTGGGGAGGCAGGGGGAAGTGGGGAGGGGCAAAAGAAGAGAAGTTGACCCACTGAGTCAAGACCTCAGGATGGAACATGGGTTATGCAAGCCCCAAGTCCTTGGCTGGGGCAGCAGGGGAGGGCAAATAAGCCATGGGCAAAATTGGTGATCTTGGGCAAGTCCAGTCCCTTCTCTGGGCTTCTCAGTTTTCCTTCTCTATAAAATGAGAGGAGTGAACTAAAGTTAAACCTGAAGTTCCTTCTAGTCCTGACATTCTACAACTCCATATTCAAAAGTGGGTGAAAACAATAAATACAATGTAATACTCCAGTCCTAAGAGCTGAAAACAGAATATTCTCATTCATTTGCTTGGAAGAGCTACCCCAATTCTCTCCCTTCTCTCAACATTCCACATGTATTCCTAACCAAACCTGGAGGAAAATACAGATTTGAGGTTTGACTTTTTGACGTTTTCTTTTCTTTCTCTGTGTGTGTGTGTGTGTGTGTGTGTGTGTGTGTGTGTGTGTGTGTTCCAGTTCATATTCGTGATTTCAATAGTGTGGAGGACTCCTAGTATAGAAAATCCCTCTGTCAATGCAGATTGACTATGTTAGTAATTTATAGTCTTAGAGACTATAAATGACAATTACAAATAAGTGATTTGCCCATGGACACACAGTCAGTATGTGTCAGAGACTGGTCTTGCTGACTCCAAAGCCAGCCTTCTCTCCTCTATATCATGCTATCCCATACATGCATATTCTCTCTCTCTCTCTCTCTCTCTCTCTCTCTCTCTCTCTCTCTCCTCTCTCTCCCTCTCTTCCTCTCTCCCTCTCCCTCTCTCTCTTTCTCTCTCTCTCTCTCTCTCTCACACACACACACACACACATTCACACTCACATATGCCCATGGATTTAAAAGCTGGTACAGACCTTCTAGACAATCTAGTTTGACCCCTCACTTTACAGATGAGGAAATGGGGCCCAGGAAGAGAAAAGCACCTTTGCCCAATTTCACCTACAGAGCTGGGCTTGCCTGTAGGTCCTCCACCTCTCCCTGCTCTGATGCTTCCATTCTTTTGGCCTTAGCCCTTTTAGATGCTCAGGCCTCAACACTTGTATCACAATGGCAATATCTGCAGCCAGCCCAAGTGGATCTAGTGCACCTGGGGTGGTAGGCCAGCGGGTACTGCCAGAGAGAGGCATTGCAGCAAAATCTCAGTGACTCCTCATGGCTTATATCTAGGAAGCCCATAGGGTAGCTCCAGAGCCTAAAGCAGATGGGCTACCAGCAGAATTCTCTGTAGGCTGCAATAGGTTGCTTCTTCTCTCTCCCAGCTCAACCCTGCCTGGTTCATCCCTGGGCTCTGACCATGATCCTATCTCATGAGAGGGGTGCCTTCACTAGATAGTCCAAGGAGCACTAAGAATAATCAGAATGCCCATGGGACTCAAGATCCAGGCTCCTGGACTCCTTGGCCCTCTCCTCCCTGCTGTTATCTTCTGAAGGCTGGGCAGGGCATTAACTCTGTGCTATTGACAACAATCCATGATGACAGTTAATATTAAATGGACAACCAACTCTAGAATCTTGTTATAAGTATCACAGGATCCTAGACTGAGTTGGAGGAAGGGATCCTCAAAGTCATGAAGTCCAACCTCTTCATTTTACTGAAGTATGGAGGGGATGAGAGTGTCTTGCCCAAGTCACACAGGTAGGAAGTGTCTGAGGCAGGATTCAAACACAGCCTTTCCTGACCCCAGCCAATATGTCCCATTACCCCTCTCTGACTGAAGGGCCAGTTCTCATCCAGTAGACCATTTCTACCTCATCCCTAGGTCCTCTGGCATTGCAGCCTCCGTGGGGCACGCAACAAAGGCACACCTCCAAGCATGCCCCAGGCCAGCTTTCTTCACACTTTGGCCTGCCTCTCATCAGTCCATTCCTGCTTAGTGTTCTGCAGGGCTTGAGTTTTCTGCTCATCTACTTGGACGTAGTCAACTCGATGCTCTTCTGAAATCAAAGGTTTCTGCAAGGGAAAAACAGACCAATTTGTATTGGCTCAGAATAAATCCATGTAGAACCTTCTATTTTCCTCTCCTCTCATCCTGGACACTGGTGCTCTTCATGCTTCACTTAGCCTTGGAATGTAACGTGATGTGACCTGATACTGTTTTTATGGTTAGAGTTCTATTAAGCATTTATTAAACACCTATTTGCGTACTAGGCCCTGGGGACACAGAGACAAAAGTGAGAGCCTCTTGCCCTCCACAAGCCTTTATCTGAACTGGAGAAACAATATATCCATATATCAATATATCACAACACATGCAAAACTGTGGGAGGGAGGTGGGGAAGGAAAGGAAGGAGGGTCTTAATACCAAGTGGAGGAAGGCAAGGAATCAAGAAAGGCTTCATGCATAAGATGGGGCTAGAGCCAAGTCTTGAAGGAAACCAGGGATTCAGAGAGGTTGTATTGAGGAGGGAGGACATTACAGGCATGGGAAACAAACTATGCAAAGACATGGGGATGGGAGGAACAGTAAGAAGGTCAATTTGGATATCCCACAGAGTGCAACATGTACAATAAGGGAGTAGTGTAGAAGAAGGCTGACCAAGTTGTGAAGAGCTTGAAGTATCAAACCAAGGTATTTATTTGATCTTGGAGACCATAAGGAGCCATTAGAATTTGTTGAGTAGAGGGTGACATGGTCAGAACCAAACTTTGGCAGCTATATGGAAAATGGATTAGACTGAGGAGGCTATTGCCGTAGTCTAGGCAAGAAGTGATAAGTTATTGAAGAGAGCAATGGCTGTGGCAAGTACAAAAGAAGAAACAAATCCAAAAAGATACTGAAGAAAGAGAAGCAACAAATGACAATTGACCAGGTATGGAGAATGAAAGAGAGTCAAAAGTCAAAGATTTGACTGAAGTGGCAAGCCTGGATGACTGGGAGGATGGGAGAGCTCTCAGCAATGATAGGAAAGTTCAGAAGAGGAGAAGGTTTTGGGGGGAAGGGATAATGTTGGGGACACACAGAGTTTGCTTTCAAATTCAAAATGTCCAAGAGGCAGTTGGTGATGTGGGCCTGGCACTCAAGAGGGAGCCTAGCGATAAGTATGCAGATTTGGGAATCATCAGCATACAGACAATAATTGAACCCATGGGAGCTGATGAGATCAGTGAATGAGATGGTATAAAGAGAAAAGAAAAGAAATCCCAGGATAGAGCCTTAGGGGACACCCATAGTTAGTGGGCTGGATATAGAAGAAGATCGAGAAAAGGAGCCATGAGATATTTAGGAGGAGAGTCAGGAGAGAGCAATGCCATGAAAATTCATTGAGGAGAGAATATCCAGGAAAAGGTGATCTACAGTGTCAAAGGCTGCACAGAGTCAAGAAGGATGAGAACTGAAAAAAGGCCATTACATTTACTCATTAAGAGGCTACTGAAAACTTTGGGGAGACCAGTTTTGGTTGAATGATGAGGTAGGAAACTGGAAAGAAAGAGATGGATGAGTGGGAGGAGAGGAAGTGGAGGCAATGAGGGTAGTTTTTTTTTCCTAGGACTTTGTGAAGGAGAAGAGAAATATAGGCACTACATCTGCCTATTCCACTGAAATGAACTCATTTGAGCTTTACTTCCTTCTTTTTTAAAAAAATTAATTAATTTATTTTTAGTTTTCAACATTCACTTCCACAAGATTGTGAGTTCCAAATTTTCTCCCCATCTCTCTCCCCTCCCCCACACCAAGAAAGCATGCCTTCTGATTACTCCTACCCCCAATCTGCCCTCCCTTCTATTGCTCCCCTCCCTTCTCTTATCCCCTTCCCCTTCTATTTTTCTGTAGGGTAAGATAGATGTCTATACTCCATTGCCTCTGTATCTCATTTCCCAGTTACATGTAAAATCAATTTTTAACATTTGTTTTTAAAACTTTGAGTTCCAAATTCTCTCCCTTCCTCCCTCCCCACCCACCCTCATTGAGAAGGCAAGCAATTTGATATAAGTTATACATGTGTAGTCATGCAAAACACTTCCATAATAGACTCGTTGTGGAAGACTAACTATATTTTCCTCCATCCTATCCTGCTCTCCCATTTATTCTATTCCCTCCTTTGACCCTGTCCCTCCTCAAAAATGTTTGCTTCTGATTACTCCTTCCCTCACTCTACCCTCCTTTCTATCACCTTCCCTCCTCTCTTATCCCATTCCCCTCTACTTTCCTCTAGGGTAAGATAGGTTTCTATACCCAATTGAGTGTGTACATTATTCCCTCCTTAAGCCAAATCAATCCCCTTAATAAAAGGATTTGTTCTATAAAACTTCGACTCAGAGGCCACACCCAAGGACCTAGAAGGTCACAGGTTCCCCTACCCCTGGTCTAGATAATCAAGAATTAGAAACAATCAAACTTAAAAACCCAGCATTCAATAAACTCAAGAAGATAAACTCTATGGGGAAGGGTTCCATAATAAAGCTAGAAAGCAGCTTGACAGATTGCAATAGAGTATTAGTGTGACATAAGAAATAATGAATCAAGAAATTCAATGAGAAACTATCGCAAGTGACTTCATTCACCTTAGAACTGCAGAAAAAGTCAGCCAGCTTCTCCCACTGAGCAAAGCCAGTACAGCACAGTGTAGTTTCCCAGTACTATCAGAGGCTGCCAGGAACATCAGTAGCCTGCAATAATCTGTGCTCAGAGACAGTAGGAGCAGAGAGTTCACTTAAGAAGGCTCCAGGGTAGGGAACCTTGAAAACCCTAAGGAGTAGCAGCAGCAATCAGTGCCATGCCAACCAAACATACATGGTACCTCAATGTACATATTTTAGATGGCCCAGTCTCAGGGGCTCTGAGGTCCCTAACAGTCTGTTTTAAGATACCAGAGAGGACCTTGAAGATACCAGAGGAGCTTGATCAAGCATAGCCAATCACCTCATCCAAGAGAACAGGATGGGGCAGAGCCTGGCTCTAGCACAAAATTCTAATTCAATTCAGGCACTAAAGCTGGAGAGATGAGTAAAACAAAAAAAAAAATAAAACCACCCTGCAATATGAAAAATGATTGCAAATCTAACTCCATAACAACTGTACGGAAAGACTGAAGGGAAAAAATGGATTTTCCCCAAGAACTACATGAATACCTGGGAGAAATACAGTGGTAAGTTTAAAAAATGAAATAAAAGCACTGGAGGAGAGAATTGGAAAGAGAATAGTCTAAAGGAGAAAATATTTCAAGAAATCCTAAATCAAAACTGCCCAAATCTATTACAACCAGAGAGCAAAGTGAAGATAGGAAGAATTCACTACTTACCTCCTGAAAGGGACTCCAAAAGGAATAGCCCCAGGAATGTCATGGCTAAAATCCAGAGCTCCCACATCAAAGAAAAAGTACTGCAGGCATCCAGAAAAAATCAATTCAAGTATCAAGGAACCACAGCCAGGTTCCCACAAGACCTGGCAGTGTTTACTAAAAACCAGAGGAGATCTTGGAATACAATAGTTCAAAAGGCAAACTATATGGGCTTACAACCAAGAATAACTTACTTTGCAAAGCTGAGTATGGGAGGGGTCTGGGAAGAGAAATGGGCCTTTAATGCAATAGAGGGCTTTCAAGCATTTCTGATTAAAGAAAAAAAAAAAGACCAGAGCCTAATAAGTAGGAATTTTGAAATACCGACGAGAGTCTAAAGAAACCTAGAAAGGTCAGTTTGTTAGAACAATTAGAATGGGTGTGATAATGCATGCTAACATTCTAATAGGTGGAAAAGAAACCAATGTCTCTGCAGAATCTTGATGCCTTCAAAGGGTATTGAGAGAATTAAATGAGAAAAAAAGGTCTTGGGGGCAATGATGTTTCTGTTTTGAGAGTCTGAATTGGGGAAAGAAGCTAAAAGGAGAGATATATTCAGGGGTGTGCAGGTAAATGTTTAACAACTAGCTCTCTGAAAAAAATGTACACACTAGACACTTTTAACTGCATTAACATTTTCCTCATCACTTTCTTAAGTCTAGTCCAAGGGTTAGCAAATTATGGGTCCCTGGATCATATCTAGCCTCAAGGGATAGCCAGATAAGAATAGTTTTTACATCTTAAAATACAATCAAACTTTATTTTAAAATGTAAAAACCATTCTTAGCTCTTGGGATGTACAAAAACTGGTGGCCATAGTTTTGTTGACCTCTGGTCTAGGCAATCAACAAAATAACAAATCAAGCTCTGATTTGTAGCATTTGCCAATTTCCACATAAATGCTCACATTAAATATTTAACAATTGTTAAATTGGCTCTGAAGAGCCAATCTAAGCTGGTTCCAGCACAACCCTGGATATATTATTGTAGAAATGAAGAAGGGGATGGAACTTGCTATTTCCCATCATATAATTATGGAGGAAAGAGTGGGAGGAGTGGGCATCAGATGAGCCATACCTCTTATTTGAAATGAACAAAAGAGAGTTAAACATACAACACACACAATTTGGTGAAAAAGTGCATCAAACTTAACAGGAAACAAGTAGGGGAGGGGAGGGGAGGGAAAGGGAAAGATAATACCAGGGGGGAAAAGTCACAAACAAAACAAACTTCCTGAGGGAGTTTTAAAGGGAGGATTAAAAGGTGGTTGGGGGAAGAGGGGAGAGGAATAAAAGAAAAGAAGTAGAAACTAAGGAGGTGACTTAGATTGCCTCTTAGGCAGTTGGGGAATAGCTAACATATTGTGGCATATGAATATAATAGAATGTTATTGTGTTGTAAGAAATGACAAAAAAGACAATTTCAGGGAATCCTGGGTAGCATGAACTGAGGCAAAGTGAAGGGAGCAGAATCAGGAGAATGATATATACAAAGACAACAACATTGCCAAACAAAACAAAAAATAACAACTTTGAAAGCCTAAAGAGCTCTGATGGGAGCACTGCCCCACCCAGTCTCCCAAGGACCAATGGTGAAGCATGGTGCCTACCTGCTGCCAGAGAGGGGATGGACTCAGGGGGCAGAGTGAGACAGGCATTCTTGGACACTGTATGGATTGTTTTTGCTTGACTACAGTTATCTGTTACAAGTTGTTTTCTCCACTTTTCTTACTCTTGGTTAATGAAGGAAGAGAGTGTTAAACAGGAGAGTAGAGGGAAATGAGGGGGTTAGGACAGTAAGTGTTAGTGGGAATTGAGTGAATTACACCGACTCATCTCATGACTCAATTCTAGAGCTAGCTCAGTTCCCTTTCTATTCAATTATGGGTCTCGTCCAATTTGTTTTGTGAGAAAACTTTATTCAATTGTGGGAACTGGGAGAAAACCTTATTACATTGTTTGAACCTAGCCCTGCATGGCTGGGAAACTGGACCACCTCTACCTGCCATTTAGAGACCCTTAACCAAAGACCTATGTTATGCTGACTAGGAACTTATTCAGATCCAAAGATTGATGCAAGGAGTTTTCTCACAATTGTACATCTCAAGCAAACCATGTCTTATCTGAAAACTGGCTCCATACTGATCCATCAGTTATTGTATCCATGTTCCTTTGATTGCTTATAGATACTTGCGGAGCAGGACACCTTCTTTTCTGAATTCAGGGGAATTGCATCTGTTCACTCTTCCCCTTCCAACTTGGAAAGTCCCTAACCCAGTTAGAAATCAGATTACCTAATGTTGTATTATGCTGTCCTTTTAATTAATTGGCTTTATTTGATTAATTGTTTTTAATGCATAAAAGTCTTTTCCCTCTGTACTCTAGGTCCAGGTCTAAGCTGAGGAGGTCTGGTCTTGCTTTGTTAGGCAATTGGCATGTATTGTTCAATAAATTAATATGCTCAGAAGATCAAATCTTTGTTTTCCTCAGTCATTTCATCTTTCACCCACCACAGTTTTTGGTGAGCTGTGCTAGGTTAAGTCAAAATTTGGACCCCTGCTGACAACCTTCCAGAAAAACTCCCTAGAGATCTCCAGTTAATTTTTTACTGAGGGGCTTTTTTAGGAAAGACGGCCTCTGGAGGTAGGACTCCTGCTCTCCATCCCTTTTTCTTTTGAGCTCTGGTAATGTTTAAGGTTTGGTTTTTGTTTTTGTTTGTTTGCATTTTGAGGATTAGTTTGGGCCCACCCCTGTGATTGGGGAAGTATAGGTTTAGAATTAGTTTTCCCCTTGGAAGTTTACTTTTAAGAGGTTTGGATCCAGTTTTGCCATGGATTTTTAGTTCGTTTTCCCAGGAAGTTTTGGTTTCCCCTTAAGGTTTGGGGAAGTAGAGTTAAGTTTTAGGTTTTCAGAAGTTGTGACAGAAGATGGGTTCCAGCAGTAGCAAGATTCCTGTGGGTTCCCCCTTGGATAGATTTTTGATACCATGGGACCAGAGGCAATAGTTATGGGAATGACCAAACAGCATGCAATTGAATTATGTGACATCTGGTATAAAACTGCAATAAATTCAGTTGATAATTTGAGCTAATTAGGCTTTTATCATTATTGCAAATTAAAGAAATTAAGACTAGTCACTGAAAAATCTTATTCTGATCAGATGAACTTTTGGTTTTGCTGGGCAGCTTTAAGTGATACTTTCAGTGATACCACCTCCTAAAAGGAGCTTCTTCCTTATATCCTGTCTATGTGTGTCTGTATTTTTGTGTCTTTGTAAAATGTAGGATTTTTAAAAGGAAAATGCAGCTAGCTAGAAAAAAACTGCCAAAAAAGCTGCAGCCAAAAAGTTTAGAATGCAGGGGAAGATTAATAAAATTTCATACTTGAAGCAGTTGCCCTAGTAAACAGGACTAGCTCCTACTTTAGGCTTTCAGCAGGAGATTAGGTTATAAGAAAACAAAAAACCCTGTAAGACACTTTCCCCCCCTGTCATTTCAACCTTAGCCATGTTGAAATTACAGAAATAAAGTCAGATAATAAAAGTTTGTGGAACTGCTAAAAAACATCTTAGTAAATTTTGGTGGTTTGGAGATTAAGGAGTTTGGAGATGAGTCATTTTCACTTAGCAACATATACTGAAATATCTTAGTGAGTTTGGGATATCATGTTATAGAAGTTAAGGAAAAAAGGAATTAAATTTTATGAAAGTTTTAAGGGTAAATAGCACTTAGATCAACCCCCATTCCATCCCCATTGATAGCCCTATTGTTTTAGTGTAATGAAGGAAGACAGCTGGTTTGAAAGTAATCCTGGGGGCAGGGAAGGTATATGGTTTGCATTTTTAAATTTATCTGAAACTTAAATAGCTGCCTCTCATCAACCTTCCTTTGGCCATGGAAAGAAAAAAGATTGTTTAAATCAGACCCCTAAGCCCCTCCTATCCAGGCTCAGAAATTCCCCTGTGACTCCCCCAGCTCAGACCCTCCCCCTCTGACCCCATTAACTTTTCTCATCTCAGATAAGGTTCCCAAATAAATGTGTTGGACAAAAAATGCTGGAAAAAATACAGGGAAACTTAAGCTTTTAAAAGAATGTGATAAGAATATATATTTGAAAACTTAAATATTTAATGGAGTATAGTTGGTTTTAAAATAGATAATAATAAGTTAAGAGTGTTAATAATAAGAGTGTTAGCAACAGTGATGGTGAGAGGAAGAGAGAGAAAAGAAGAAGAAGAAGAAGAAGAGGAGGAGGAGGAAAAGAAGAAAAAGAAGAAGAGGAGGAGGGGAAAGGGAGCCATTGTAACATTTTTTAAAACACAAAGAGAATGGGGGGCAGCTAGGTGGCACAGTGGATAGAGTATTGGCCCTGAAGTCAGGAGGACCTGAGTTCAAATTTGGCCTCAGACCAAACACTTGTCATGTACTAGCTGTGTGACCCTGTGCAAGTCACTTAACCCCGATTGCCTAAAAAAAAAAATTGAAAAAAAGAACAAAAAACAAAGAGAATAGAAGAAAGTACAGAAAGAAGCACAAAATTTTGAAAATAACACATGGCATTTATTGTATTAAAAAAAGCAAATGGTATGAAATGGACATCGATAGGTTTATATATAAATTTGTTTTTATTCTTCTGTGTATATGGAAACATGCTATGCAAGTCTGGCTGATTTTTCCTTAAAAGGCACTGAAACCATATTTGAAACTTGGGTTTCATTTGAAACTTGATTGGCTCAGGGAATTAAAGGTTCAGGTTGCTGACATCACTTGAGTACAAAAGGACCACAAGGAGCTCCAGTGCTTCCTGATGTCTGGCAGGCAGACCATAATAGGCAACTGAGAGGCAGGAGAGTTTCATTTAGGTGAAGCAACTCAGATATCCTCAATGCATGTCTTTGTTGAATATCCTTCCCCTGCTAAAGTAGTCCTTTTGTTAACTGTTGAATGATGCATGAGTGCCTCATTTTGTTCCAATATTGAACATAAACTATGAGGGGCTTGGTCTAAGTTAGGCCCAACCCAAAACACCAAGATATATAAGCAGTTAATACAAATATATAAGAATAAATAATCTTTGTCACAAGAGAAGGCTTGTTGGGTAGGGGAGGGGGAGGAGTATATATGGAAATGAATGTGAATTGATGATCAATTTCTTTAAAAAAATTAAATACTTGACAGCTACTGGCCATCTGATGGAGGTTCCCTACTGTTGGCAGCATCTAGGGGCATGAAAATGGCGGTTCCACTTTATCTGATATTGGATACAAATGGACATGACTCCTTCCCCTCCAAAATAAGGCCCATCCCTACTCTTATACACTCACTAGTATCTGAGCAAAATTAAGCTCCCAAGACCCATTGGGACACCATACGAACTCTATATTTGGGGCAACTTCCCAAAAAGGAAAGGAATAATGAAGTCCTGCAAGGATATATAAGGAGATAGTAGAACTTCCAACTTGATGGTTCTTACAGTTGTACAGACCCAGGGCTAAAAATACCTAGAAAGTAGATTCGTACCTTGAGCACTGGAGATGGAGAAGCTGGATTAAAATCCAAGGCTAAATAATCAAGGCTGAATTTCTTTGGCCAAGAAAAAGTGCCCTCACAAGGGGAGTGTCCTTGTCTGTGTTCCTGCCGAAAAAGAAACATTCAAGAACTGAGCAGAATACAACCCAGCATTAAGCTTTGCAAAGGGAAGGGAGGAAGTTCTTAAGTTCAGGGCATTGGTGGCCATGGTATAGGACTAGGTTTGTAAGACCAGCTCTCAAAAGGATGATTGTTTCTTCCCAGGCACTGCTTTCCAATGTGGCCTAGCTCATCCACAATGGTATCTGCCTTCATTTGCACTGGGCTCCAGCCTTCAGCCAGGCATGAAATGACTGAAAGGAATGCAGCTGCATTAAGTTTATCAGTAAAAAATAGAATCTGATGAAAATACAAGTGTTATGAATTCAGCTCTAATAATATAGAACAAGGTAAAATAAAATACAAGCACCTGGGTACAAAGTAAGTACCTCTGCTAAAAGGCAAATGTTATCTATTGACCACTGCTTAAATTCACTAAGGTTTTCCTTACCAGGGCTGCCCCCTTTCCTTCTTGACTACAGCCTATCTGAAGCCACTGTATAAGTCAGAACATCTGTAGTTACTACTTTCCCTGCTCAAAGAGGTGAAAGTTTTTAATCATAATTTACCCTAATTATCATTAGGGCAAAAGTCACATTCTGTTGATTCCTCCTACTGGCCAGCTAAGTTCAGGTAGGCTCATCATCTCATTGGGGATAAATGAGGATAAACTGAGCCACAGCAGCTCTTTAAGACCATCAACTACATCAACAAGGGGTTGGGACTTACGTCAGTGGAGAGGGTAGCTACTACAATAAAAGCATGGCTCCTTCAGGGCTGCAGTAAGGAACTGATCTGATCCTGCATCTTGCTGCTCCCAGAGACCCACCATGTCTATGCTTTCTGTACTAGGAGAATTTTCCCACTGCTACAAACCTCTCCCCTCCAAGGTCTGGCCAAAATGAGAGTAACAAATATGGAGGCATATGGAGGTACAAGCTCCCTGGGTTGTCTCATTCTTATCAAATAAAAGGCTACTGTGCCAAAAAACCAACTCTATGTCATGCCCTTCCAAGGAACTCCTTCTTTCAAGGTAGATAAATTTGGTTCAAGTCTACAAATTTTTTTTTTGCATCAAAAAACTTCTCAGGCTTTCTCAACTTAGCTCATTCTTGCCAGAATCTTATTCAAGGGAGATTTTCATCATTAACGGTGGGGAAAACTAATGTGTGTGTCAGGGTGAGACTCTGTCCTCTCTTTGCTGCCCGCCAGGACTACCCTTGAACTCTAGCTGGTCAGTCAGGGTCTCTCTGCTCCTGGGCTTCACAAGCTTCACTTGAATCATTTCTGACTTCTGGAGGTCAAGATCAACTTCTTAACATCTTCTTTAACAGTGGTTTCCCACTAGGATATTCCCAACAGCCATTTTGAGGTGTGACAAACATTAGGAAGATCATAGTACAAGTACATAAGGCTGAATAGATTTGCAGTTGAAAGCTAAAATAGTTGCTTCCCTGGAGGTTACTATTCCTAGAGTTTTCTTTTTATTTCTTGTCCACCCTACTCACTATCATTGGCCTAGATCCCCCAAATTCAAAGATCTGGGAGAAAGGCATGGCTAATGAGGGCCAAAGTTTGAAGTCACACTTCTATAAACTCCCTTTGATATAGCTGATGACTGTGAAGAAGTAATCCCAAAGACTCTCTCCCTCATAGTTCTCTTGTAGACTCTGTCTAAGCTAGCTTTCCAATGAAGGGCCCATCCAGTATAGGCAAATGTTGGAGTATTGGTTGAAAATTTATTTCTGAACGTATAAGCCCCACTATGACTGTACCTACCCAGCCATTCTGAACCAAAAACCAGTTCTATTGTCCACTGGAGCCAAGGAGAGTCATGGATTGGAACAAAGGCAAGCAGAAGAGCTAAAGGTTAGGTCTTGGGTGGAATAGTATTGAGGGTGATGAGACTTTGCATCAATGTGATGATGCCAGTTACAGAAATGCTCCAAATATTATTGGTCTTTCATTTTTCCAAAGACATCACCAGTCTTGGTATGAAGGTGTCAGAACTTTCTTCCTAGAGTTTGCCAACAAAATGCTTCTTAAGTTCTCTTGGAATATCATGGTGTGATTTGTGGGCTAGCAGGGAGAGAAGGAGAAAGGCAGACTACAATAGTTTCTGTTATTGCCTTATTAACCTTAAGTTTCAGACCATATAGAGTTGGTGTCCTTTTTTTTCAAGAGCACAAACACACACATAACACATTTCTTAGAAAAAGAACTTGTCAATATTCCATCCACATGCAAAATACGTTACCATTTGAATGTAACTTTCTTCCTCTTCTCCGGAAACTGAATTGGCAAATAATCTTGCAGAATTAATCCCATCTCTTTCTGGAGAGAGAAAGCTGGTTCGGTTGCTAGGAAGAAAAAACATAGAGGATATTAAGGAAATGTCTTACAGATGCTTTGAAAACCAGCCAACAGCTGACATGGAGGCCCATATGTAGAGGAGATCTGTTTTCAGCTCTGGTTTTTTAGCAATAGACTTCCCCACCAACAGGTTCCCTGAGACCATTGCTTTCATTCCTGGGGCTTGACCTCAAAAGTCTCAATAGGAATTTTTAGCTAGGATTTAGAAGTGACAGCTTTGTCAAATGGTTCCAAAGAGACACCTGGCATACATCTGGAGAAATTATCTTGCACAGCAACTGGTTTTTAGTTCAGAAATTGACTCATTGGCTCCTCCAGCTGCATAGCATGACTGCCCAGTCCCAAGACAGGCACTGATGTTTGTTGTCTGTAGTTCAGAAAAGACTGAGGTTTGGACTTCATTCCCACCTGACACTACCTGTGTGACCTTTGGAAAATTGTTTTGCCCCCACGGTTACTCATCAATCAGTCAGTCAAAAAATATTTAAGTGTTTATTGGGTACCAGGCAGTGCTAATTGGGGGGGGGGCAGAGGAGAGGGGCTAATCTTCTGATGGGGGAGGCAACACACATAAATCACTACATAAAACAAACACAAAGTAGATGCAAAAGAATGGACCTTTCAACCTAGAATTTGGCCCCAGAAGTGGGCACTTTTAAGCTCTTTGAGGGCAGGACCTATTTCCTTTCTGTTGTTTTCTCCTCCTGTTGCTGCCTTGTAAATGCTCATAGATTGATCAATTGTCTCTGAGTCCCAGATTCTAACACAGCACCAACTGACACAGAATAAATGCTTGTGGATTGACTTCAGTAGTTGCATGAACTGAGTAGATGCAGAGCCACCCTGGGATGAATCAATGGGAACAATTTACTTCCCTTACAGGGCAATTATTCCCAGGACCACAAACAATTCCCTAATGAATGGTCATTCTTAACCCAAGTAGGGCCCTTTTGCTAAGGCATTGCCGTCAGCTCATGTCCCCAACCTTCAGCTGATGAGATGACCTTGCATTGCCTTGAGGCCTTCTGGCTACCTCAGCTGTGCAGAGCCCTGTCAAGGGTAGTTGGGCCTGATGGTCCTGAGAATGGAGAAGCCCAGCCTTCCATGAGGTGCTCTGCAGAAGAGAGATGGCCTTTTTAAGAGGCTGAAAGTGGGAGGCTTCAACTACCCATGGTTGTGCCCCATGTGCTGAATTGCCACTAATGGAGCAAGCTGAGAAGACTTGTCATGCTGGGTCAGTGGCACCAAGGTGTGGCTTGTGAGAAAGCAGGACAGTTCCTCATGATGGGAACTTACAAAAGCTAAATTTCAGTTGTTCCCCAGGGCTCTTCCAATTCGGCTCCAGCCTGATTTCCCATCACTCCCCCTCATACAACCTCCATTCCAGCTGAACTGGCCCACAAGCACACATTCCATCTCTTGTCTTCATGCCTTAGCACAGGCTCTCCCTGTTTCCTGCAATGCTCTCCCTCCTCCCTTCCACCCCGGGGAAATCTCGAGTGGTTTCCAAGACTCAGCTCCAGCATCACCTCCTTCCCCAGGCCCTAACTGATTCCCCATCCCACCCTCCCTCACCCCCCCAGGTGTTACTGCATGCTCTTCCTTCCCTGGAAACTAGCTTGGATTTACTTCATAAAGAGAAGTTGCTGCCATCTAGCATTCAAGGTCATCAACTTCCCTTCTCCATCTCCTCAAACTTTCCAAGACAATGTGCTTGCCATTCCCTTACCCAAGGGGCTAATTCCCTCTGTCCTTGCAAGGAAAATAGCTTTACCTTCCCTGGACTGGCCTCCTACTTTCTCCCTGCTGTTCCAAGTTCCTAATCACCCCGAGGCATGACACAGACCGCCTTCCTGTGCCTCCGGAAATCGGCCCTGAAGAATTTCCCTTCACTTTGGGCTTGACCCACTTAACTCTGCTTCTGATCCTGAGAGGACTGACTGGGTCACGTCATCCATTGCCTGACTTTCCACGTTTTCTCGTGGCAGCAATAGTAGCTGACTAAAGCAGAAAGGTGTAATTAAACCCACATAATGAGCTTAGAGAAGTTAGACCCCAAAGATCACAAACTGTTAGAGCTACAAAAGGGACCTTCTAGAATTTGGCCAGAAACCAAAGTCAAGCTCACTGGCTTCTACTCGGCAGACTCCATTTTGTTACCTTTTTGGAAAACTAACATCTGCCTTTCTTTAAACCCATGGTAGAAAAAGGACTATACTTGGAATCAAGAAGACAAATACTACCTCTGACACATACTAGCTGTGTGACCCTGAATCTCTCTAAGCCTCTGTTTCCTTATCTGTAAAATGGGGCTAACCTAACCTGTAATACCTCCCTCATAAGGTTGTTGGGAAACTCAAGAAAAGAATGCCTAAAAGCACTCAGGAAATCTTAAAACATCAATTGGGTTTTAAAACCCACTATCCTTTTTTTCTTTTGCATTTATCTGTGTACATGGTGTTTGCTCTGAAGAGAATGTAAGGTCCTTGAAGGCAAGGACTGTTTTCCTTTTTGGCATCCTCAGCATCTAGCACAGTGCCTGGTATGTAGCAGGAGCTTAATAAGTGCTTGTTAAATTGAATTGGTTCTCAATAGGCCATTATAGGAATTCACATGAACTTTTTTGGAAATTATTTCTCTTTTTAGCTTGTACTATTTCTGGGAATAACAAACACCTGAAGTTTGCCGCTGTCCGGGTGAACAACTTTTCCTTTTGATTTGTCTTTAAAACTTCCTTCTTTCCCAGTCTTAAATGATGACTCCTAGTTCTAAATCAAAAGGCAAAGGCAAGAAGATGAAATACTCAAGTCAGCTAGGGGCTATCCTTCGTGACAGAAGGGAACCAAAAATCCTAATACCCCATTTATTTCCTAGAGGCAATTTGTCTGAAGTGTGGTAGGGAGCCATTATTGCCAAGATTCAAGGGCTGTTTAACATATTCAGCAGGATGGAAACTCACCCCATCTAGTGCCTATTGGACCCAAATGGTCAAAGGATTGAGGTAATTCTGCACTCATTCACAGCTCTGCCTTTCAATTAATCAATAAATATTTATTAAGTACCTAGTAGGTGTCAAACATTGTGTTACTTGCTGGGAATACAAAAAGAGGTAAAAGGTACTCCCTGCCCTCAAGGATCTTACAATCCAGTGAGGGAGACAACATGCAAACAAAGTGGGTTAGATACAATATAATAGGAAATAATTAACAGAGGAAAAACAATGGAATGAATATGGGTTAGGGAAGACTTCCTGTATGAAATGATTCCTACACTCTGGTGTATTTACTGGAGAGTATGCTGACCTTAAGCTTGCAATCCAGGGCAACTGAAATAATCCAACAAGCCCTTACGAAGCAGCTACTGTGCATAATGCCCTATACCAAACACTAAGGAGACAAAGATGAAAAATGGCACTGTCCCTGCTTAGACTTAATGAGGAATGTAACAAAAGAAAGGAGAGACTGTCCTACCACACTGGGATCCATCCAGTCTACTTTCATTTTTCAGTCAGGCCAAATCCTACTCTCACCAGAGAAGGCTTAGTTTCTAAGCGGCCTTTGGTGTTGTGGAGTATGTCCATGGCAGGTAACTGCATGGGGTGGGGACAGGACCTAAGATCACAATGGGTCAATACTGACTAGAAGGATCCCCAGATAATGTGGGAGGCATGCTTGTGTAATCTACATGGGGATGGTTGGCAAAAGTCCTGTTCTCTAGGCTTCTATCTATCACCATTCCATACTAGAGTGGGGTGGGGGGAGAAAGAAAGAGAGAGGGAAGAAGAGGGAGAGGAGGAGGGAGGGAGAAGAGAGAGTGTGTTTCATGACTTACTAAGGCACAGTCCAAGTCCTGGTCAAAGCTGAATGCTCCCGGATAGTAGAGAGGTTCATCAGGTCTAAAGGGGGTGGGCGTGCTACAAAACAATAAAATCTGACAGTTAGATTTCAGTTATCCACAATAAAAAGATGAGACTATGGCATAGATAAAAGGGATGAAGGTTATGCACATTATCATTTACAATTCAAAGTTTTAAAGGGCATTTCAACCACCTTTAGCAGCCAGCTAGCCAAAACAACTGATTTATTTTTCCTTTCTTCCTTTGTCTTCCTTGCCTTCTCTTTGGCAGGTATCAGAGAGCAGGGATGTGGGCAGAAGACATCCTGGAGGAGAGGAACGGGAAGAAGCCAAGTACCTCAGGATTCATAGGCTAACTTATTAAGAGCTAACCAAAGGATGAATGGATTTTAGGACCACTGTAAATGGAAGAGAAGAGCAAAGAGGAAGTATGGTCTAGTTAGGGCATAGGACTTAAAAGCTAGGAAGACTTGAGTTCAGATCCTACCTCAGACACTTACTAGCTGAATGACTCTGAGCAAGTCTCAACCTTTCTGGGTCTCAGGTATCTCTTCATCTATGTGATGAGGGCATTGGCTCTAAGCTGACCTCCAGCTCTGATCCTATGAGCCTAGGAAGTGCAAGAACTAGGTTTCACAGGTTTTAAAAAGGGGATTGGGGTTGGATATGTAAATATATGGGAATTATTGAATGGGGAAACTCCACCATAATATAGCAATTAGTTCATTTGAGTCCAACTTCCTCATTTAACAGAGGAAGAAACTGAGGCCCAGAGAGGGGAAGTTATTTGTCCAAGATCACACATAAGATCATAGATCTAAAACTAGAAGGGACTGTAGAGGTTAATCAGTCTGACCTGCTCTCCCCATTTTACACATGAGGAAACTAGGGCCCAGAGTGGTGAAATAATTTCTTCCAGGGGACACCGGGGATTGTGGGATTCTAACTCAGGTTCTCTGACAATGAAGCCAAAACTGTTTTTCACTAGAGGGCCTTGCCATCAAAATCCTAAACTTAAAAAACATATTCAAGTTCATATGTATAATATTCTCTCCCAAAGGCCCTGGCTACAATGATTGTACAAAATACCCAATTTCCCTTGAACACTGTGCAAGAACCTCAATACATGAACAACAGATACTAGAGGGCATGGTTGGCACTTAGACCTGGTCAAAGCTTCATATGCAGAGACCTGTGATGCAGGGGGAACTCCCTTCCTCCTGAGCTATGAGAGACTGGCCTCCCTCCTTCCTGAGGGATGAGTGGACTGCCTGGCCACTGCCCCCCACCCCAATCCTGAGGGATGAGAGGGCAGCCTTTGATGACTCCTGAGAGGCTTGCCTCCTGGGATGGGGCTCTTCCCTCCCTCCCTTCCTCCTGAGGGACAAGAAAGAGGGCCTCCCTCCCTCCTGATAGATAAGGAGTTTGCCCTCTCTGGCTCCTGACAGGCCTATCTCTTGATGGAAGGCCTCTCTCCTGACAGACCTATCTCCTGGGTTGGGACTGCCTGGGCACTGCCCTGCCTCCCTCTTGAGGGGCAAGAAGGAGGCCTTCCCTCCTTCCTGAGCTATGACGGTCAAGCTGTCCTTCCTCCTGAGTTATGAGGAATGGTCCTACCTCCCTCCCGGTAGGTCTATATCCTGGGAGCCAGCCCTCCTCATCCCTGGAAAGCTGCCCTAAGTTTGAAGAGTGACACCCTGATATTGCCCTTCCACTTTAACTCAAGGCTGATACTCTTCAGGGTGTTCAGCAAAGGCCACCTTCTCTTTGTCTCTACCCCATCTTGTTACAAAACCTTTTCTTGTTAGAATCAAATTTCCTGAACTGACCTGCCCTGGAACCCCTCCTCTGAGTGTGCTTTCGAGTGTGTCTCCCTCATGTCCTTGCTATGCTATTTGAGTAGACGCATTTGCTAAACAATGGAGTCTATTGACTTACTGTTGGGAGAGGGTGGCAAAGCACACCCATGAGGGCTTGTGAGCTAGTGTTTAGGTGTCTAGATACCCACAGGGTTACCAGAAATAGCAGCCACCAACAGGGCCAGTGACAAAAGCGAGTTGAGAAAGGGAGGGAGTATTACATGCATATTTGCTACAAGGTTTCTTTTCCCCAGGGTGGTATAGGTAACAGAAAAGTTAGAATCTGATGCCTCAGGGCCACAGGGAGCAACTGAGAGTTTTTAATCAGAGAAGTGAAATGAGACAAACAGTGTCAAAGGAAGACTAGATGGGTAACTATGAGCAGGACAACAATAAGAGACAATTAGGAAAGGAAGACAGTTAGGTGGCACTACAGTCAAATCTGGTCTCAGACACTTGGCAGTGTGACCCTGGGTAAGTCACTTCACCTCTGCTTGCCTTAATCCATTGGAGAAGAAAATGGCAAACCACTGCAGTATCTTTGCCAAGAAAACCCCATGGACAGCATTGGCCTGATATGATCTATGGGGTCACAAAGCACGACTGAATGACTGAACAACAATAGGGACAAGAAACTGAAAATCTGTAAGTGGAGAAAATTGAGGCTCAGTGAGGGAAACTGGTCACATATGGTCACATAGCTAGTCAAGTGTTAGGGTTAGAACTTCAATACTTAAATCAAGGTCTTCTCAGGAATCAAATGGTAAGAACCTTGAGGCAGGGAGATAGCAGGAGGCTATACTGGGAGGTAGAAGACCAGAGCTCAGGTCCCAGACCTGCCACTTACTAACTGGGTGACCTTGAGTAAGTCAATTCCCCTTCAATGAGGGGGTTGACAAGGTGGTCTAAGATCTATCTCCAGTCAGTTGGTCAACATTTATTAAATGCCAGGCAGAAAGAAAATGAAAAATGGTCCTCACCCTGGGAAAACTCACAATCTAACCAGGTAGACAACATGCAAATAGCCACATACAAACAGGTTAAATATAGGATAGATTGGAAATAATAAACAGAGAGCAAGCACTTAACATTAAAGGGGATGAGGAAAGGCTTCCTGTAGATGGTGGGATTTTAGCTGAGACTTGAAGGAAACTAGTGAAGCCCAGAGGTGAAGATGAGTAGGAATGGGGGACAGGCAGAAAAATTGCCTAGAGTTGGGAAATGGGAGTGTCGTGTTTGAGGAATAGCAATGAGGCCACTGAGAAAGAGTGTATGTTGGGGGAGTTGAGGGGCGGGGATGGTAGTATTAGGTTTAATAAGATCAGAGAGGGGTCTGGTTATGAAGGGCTTTAAAAGTCAAACAGAAGGCCTTCTATTTGATCCTGGAGGTGATAGGAGATCACTGTAGTTTATCGAATAGGGGGTTGCCATGGTCCAACTTGCCCTTTAGGAAGGTTAATTTGGCAACTGAGTGAAGATCTGAGTGGGAAGCAACTTGAGGCTGGAAGACTAACCAGCAGCCTCCTTCAATAGTCCAAGTGAGAGGTGATCAGGACCTGTATGAAGGCAGTAACAACAGCAAAGGAAAGAAGGAGGTGTTACAAGTAAACTCAATAAATTTTGGACTTGACAACAGATTGGATATGGGGGGGTGGTGCTGACAGAAAGTGAGGAATTGAAGATGAAAGCCTGGGTAACTGGGCCCACCAGTAATAAGGGAGTTACAAAGACAGGAGAAAGATGATGAATTCTGTCTGTTGATTGAGTTTAATATGTTCATGGGACATCAGTTCGAGGTGTCCAATAGGCAGCTGGAGATGCTAGTTAGAAGAGAAGTTAAGGTTACATAAGTTGATCTTCGAATTATCTACATAGAGATAGTCATTAACTCCACAGGAGCTGATGAGAGCCCCCCAAAGTAAGTAGAATAGAGAGATGAGAGAACAGGGCCCAGGACAGAGCAGACACCCATGGTTAGCAGTTGGAACCTGGAGAAAGGTTCAGCTGAGCAAGGAAGAGGAGATGAAATGGAGGCACTGACTGGATGGAGACAGTCTTTTGGAGGAGTTTATCTGTGAAAGGGAAAAGAGGTATGGGGCTAGGATCCCAGGATCCTCCTCTCTAAAGGAGGATAATGACACTTGTCAAGATAAGGCTCAAGTAGGAGAGAACACAGGAAGTTCTTTGGGCCCCTAAAGCATTACGAAGGGTGAGCTAGCAAGCATTAGGGTTTTGTCACTAGGCCTGTCATCTGAGGACTACCCTGGCTTATGTCTGAGAGGATCACTCAGCAACAAAAAGTTGACCACTAGGGTGTGGCTGGGTTGTTTTGGTTTGGTTTTGGTTTTGGCTGGAGCCAATGAGATCATATATACTAGGGGTGGGGCAGGAATTGGTCCTATGATTTCATTGGTTTAAGGAGCTCCCAATGAGGAAACCCCCTCTATGGATGCAGATGGGCACCTGCTGACAGCCTGTAATCTTAGAGAGTGGCCTGAGACTCTCAGAAGTTGTGACTTGCCTAGGGTCACATAGTCAGTATGTGTCAAACTCAGGGCTTCCAGAATCATAGGATTTTTGTAAAGTATGGAAATACTAGTGCAATATTGTGAGGTGCTAAGGGACCGTGCTGGCTTGGTCTGGTAACTGTAGAAGTGGAAATGGGGCAGCATGAATGGGACAGCTATCCCCAAATATAAAGTGACAGGACATAGAAAATTGTTGGCCGGCCATGAGGGTGAGGGAAGAAAGTTGCTGAGCTTTGCACCAGAAGTGGGAAGAGGGCACTTCTGGCCCAGGTAACTGCCTGAACAGGAGGCAGACACCCAATGCCCACTACCCCACTATAGCAAAACTCTGAAGTTTGCACCAGACCGAACAGTGGCTGAAAAAAAAAAACAACGTGAAACCATAGTAAATTACTTCTTCTACTCTAGAACTATAAAAGAGGTCAACCAGCAGCTGGACAGGCAAGTTGGGGCTGCTAACAAAGTCAGCACCAACACAGGCAAGCAAGCCCCCCAGCATAACCAAAGATGGGATGACAACCAGCCTGCAAAGCTGTGTCCTGAGGCAGCAAGAGCAGAGGACAACTCTGGCCAGAAAGCTCCAGGGTGGGGACCTTGGGGGCCTCAGGGAGTGGCAGCAAACAGCAACAGGGACCAGCATTGTGCTGACCAAAATATTTAAACTAGGGCAG